CGTTGGAAAGGTCTTAGCACGGTCTACAACAATTGCCCCGGAGTCGTCACCAATCGACGAGCAGATGGGACGCAATTCGCAAAAAACTGCCCGCGGTCGAATTGGAAAATTTCAAATCGGTGACGATTTAAAGCGCGGAAAAGAAATTGTAAGGCAAGCGCCAAGAGAGGACACCAGGGCACATCCAACAAGCCAAAAATCGGGCGAAACTGTTGAGTATTCATCGACGGAAACTCGGCCAACTTCGACGAGTTTAAGCGGACAGCTCAGACGTGGGATCTCAGAGCGCGATACATCATTGGAACGGGCTCAAAGCAAGGATTCATCAGAATCTAATGGCTCAGCATTCGGTGGTTCGAGCGCGGAGTTACGCTAAAAAAACCAAGAGGGGGTGAATCTGCCCGCATCGTCTTCACCGCCACCGCCGTTGCCTCCACCGCCACCTCAACGTCAATATTCAGTGCCTGCGCCACAAATGGATCACGACTCAGGCGAAGGGAAGCTGGAGAGTGCGCCAAAGTTTGATGGGAGCGACTATTGGACTTGGAGCTTCCGATTCGAATAATGGGCAGAGGCGCACGATCTATGGGGGTACTTTGACGGCTCGGAGGAGCGACCTGCAACGGGTGATGCACGGCTGAAGTGGGAGAGGAAAAATCAGAAGGCATTCGCCCAATTTTGCAATGCCTTAGTGCCAGATGAGGTGATTCGCTCAGTACGGGAGTTCACCGGCAAGACCGAGTTGGGCAGCGCACTTGTTGATGGCGCAGCAAGAGAGCCACCCGGGTTCCTGCAGGCACAGCAGCGGCATATACACGAGTTAAGGAGTTCTACCTTCAGCGTGGATTGTATAATCGGATGGCACTCTCTGAGGAGCTCTCCTCATTGAAGATGAAAGAGCGAGAGGGAGTGGCTGCATACTGGGCGCAGTGCCGAGGACTTGAGGTCCAAGTACTTGGCTACAGGAGGGAAGGAGGAGGTTGAGGAGTGGATGATGAGGGTACTCAAAGGACTACCTCCTCACTTTGAGATGCTGAAGGTGGTGCTGAACAACCAGTTATCATCACTCACTAAGGATCAGCTGCTTACCTCCTTGAGGAGCGAGGAGATGCGGATTGGTGTCGCACTAAGATCGGATGGTGTAGACACCTTTGGAGCAGGTACGAAAGTGGGCAGCAGCAGCAGGGGAAATTGGGACAAGGGAGGAAAGCATGGAGACAGCCGTAGCAGCAGTGACACCAACTCGGGCAGATGGGGTCAAGGGAAAGGCAAAGTGGGAGTGCTTGATTTCCCTTGGGGGTCCAAGGGCATGGCTCCTCGGGGGTTGTATCATGGCTGTTGGGATGAGGGACATGCATGGCAGCGATGTCATTATCGACCTAATGGAGACATTCCGACATTCTTAATGCGGGGGGGTCGTGGGTCCAACGGCAAGGCACAGTTGGCGGATGAGGAGGAGCAGGATGACAAGGCAGAGGCAGTGGTTGGAGAGGCAGTTGCAGCAGTGGGAGAGGAGCAGCCGCGAGAGGGGTGGTGGATTGACAGTGGGGCCAGCCACAACTTTACTCCTTATGCATCAGACTTCAAAAGTAAGCTTCAGCGACAAGAGGTTTGGGGAGTTAGATTGGGAGATGGACGGGTGGTGAAAGCTGTTGGCATGGGTGAGGTGCCAGTGGTTGGTGCTGGAGGTCAGCTGCTGAGGATTCAAAAGGTCCACCTTGTGCCTAAGATGCACACGCGTCTGCTGTCAGTCCCACACCTCACCTCTCGAGATGTCATTGTCATATTCAAGGGCAAGAAATGTGTCCTTCAACGAGGGGAGCGGGTGTTGGCGATTGGAGAAAAGGAGAGGGGAAGGGACCATGGATTGGTGCGGATGTTTCTTCCTCTTGCTCGGGGCACACAAGGCAGTGCTCTTGCAGCTGGGTCCTCCTCCTCATTTTCCCCATTGACCCTTGCCCATCGCCGCCTTGGTCATACCGCCCCCACAACATTGCAACAGATGGCTCGGGGGAACAGTGTACTGGGCTTGGAGATTGGGGGGGGGAGCAGTGATTGCTCCCCATGTGAGCCTTGCTTATTGGGAAAGTCGGCTCGGAAGCCGTTTCCCCCACGAGGCGTCTCGGGCACTTGGGCCTTTGGATGAGGTCCACATGGATTTGTGGGGGCCAGTGTGCACACCCTCACTGGGAGGAGCGGTGTATGTCCTCAGTCTCATTGACGACTTCACCAGACAAGTTTGGTTGTTCCCCCTCCCCAACAAGGAATCAGCCACAGTTGCAAAGTCCTTCGCCAGTGGCATAAGGACGTGGAGTTGGAGTGTGGGCGGAAGCTGAACGCTGTTCGCTCCGACAGGGGTGGCGAGTTCTTGGGAGAAGCTGTAAAGGCATAGAAGGCGGAGTTTGGCATTAAAAACTCAATTGAGCGTCGCAGATACACCACAACAGAATGGGGTCGTGGAGAGGTGGCACAGGACGATGGCAGAGGGGACTCGCACATTGTTGGTCGACAGTGGTCTCCCTACTCGCTTGTGGGGTGAAGCATTGATGTGGGTCGTGTGGGTTAAGAACAGGGTCACCCACAGTGCTTTGCCTGCCTCCATTACACCAATGGAGGCGTGGTCTGGCTAGAAGCCGCAAGTGGGCATGGCTCGGATTTGGAGTTGCATGGGGAGTGTCATGCTGCATGGGCATGAGAAGGGGTGGTAAGCTTGATGCACGGGCTGTCATGTGTGTCTGTGTTGGGGTGGACATAGAGAGCAAGGGTTGGCGCATGCTGGACCCTTCTCTCATGCGCATTCGCATTGCTCGGGATGTTGATTTCTTGAGAATGTGATGTGGAAGGATTGGGACAAGGCAAAGGGATTTGGGGAGCTTCTGCACGATGCAGCTGCAATTTCCCCAACTCCTCCCTCTTCCACTCTCGCCACCCTCCGCAAACGGCTGACGACGTTGAGATGCCACCTTCATCACTGCCACCGGCACCGCTGAGTGTGTCGGTGTAGCAGCTGCCCACCCCTCTGCAGCAGCTCAGCGGCTCCTCAGTCATTCAACGGAGATCCGCTACACATGCTACTTCCTCTTCCTCCTCCTCTGGTCAGCGCTCTGTCCCTCTCTCTACGGGTGCCCCTCTGTCGTCGGCGACTACCTCCCCACCAAAGGTTACGGGTTTGCAGGTGCTTGGTATCCAGTCTGGTACAGGTGGTGAGGAGGTAGGGGGGGATGCTGGTGTGGTTGAGGGCATGCTGTGTTTGGCCAGGGAGGTGGAAGGTGTTGCACTGGCAGGTGTGAGCACCGGTGATGTCCCACGCACACTCGCTGAGGCCTTGCGTGGCCCTGAGGGCCCTGCGTGGAAGGCAGGCGCTTATAAGGAGGTAAATGCAATGCGCACTATGGGTGTATGGGATCCAGAGCCGGTCGACTTACCTCCAAGTAAGAAGGCCATTGGGGTCAGGTACGTTTTCCGCAGGAAAACTTACAAGGAGGATAAGGTGGTACAGCACAAGGTTCGCCTTGTTGCTAAGGGGTACACTCAGGAGCCTGAGAAGGACTATGATCAGATATTTGTCCCTGTGGGCAAGCTCACCTCAGGTCGGGTGCTTCTTGCAGAAGCCGCGGTAAAAGGGTGGCATGTACAACAGGAGGATGTTGATCATGCTTACCTCAATGCAGTCCTTCAAGAGGAGGTGTATGTGAGGCAACCTGAGGGATTTGATGATGGTACAGGTAGGGTGTATCGCTTGCGCAAAGCTCTCTATGGGCTGAAGCAAGCGCCTCGTACTTGGAATGAGGAGATTGGTACCTCCCTGATTGCAGCAGGGTTTGACTGCAGTGCATGTGATGAGGCTCTGTACATCAAGTTTGTGGATGAAGAGCCTGTGTATGTATTGGTGTATGTGGATGACATCTTGCTTGTGTCTCGACGCTTGGAGCTGATCGGTCAGGTCAAGGAGGTGCTTGCTCAGAGGTACCAGATGAAGGATCTAGGTGAGGTATCCACGTACCTTGGTGTGGAGGTTCGCAGGTCAGCCAAGGATGGGTGGTTGGAGATTGGTCAGGAGAAGTATGTCCGTGGTCTCCAGGGAAGGTTTGTTGATCTGCTGAAGGAGACCCATAGGGTGCATACTCCAATATCACCCAATGATCTCTCTAAGATCAGAAATGGTACTTGGTCGCCCAAGGAAGGTGTTGCAGCTGATGTCAAGGTGTACCAGAGTCTCATTGGCAGCTTGATGTATGCTGCTGTGACCACCCGTCCTGAAATGTCTTTCACTGTCAACACCCTTGCACAGTCCTGCGTGGCACCAAGACGCATTCACATGCGCGCTGCACTGAGAGCACTCGGGTACTTGGTTGACACAGCTGATCATGTCAATCAGGTATGAGCGCCAAGGTGGTGAGCAGGTTGTTGGGTACAACAGACTCGGATTGGGGTGGTGAGACTGATGGCAAGAGTCGCTCTGCCTACATCTTTAATCTGGGAGGAGGAGCAATCAGCTGGTATAGCAAAAAAACAGACAGTGTCGCAGCAAGCGTTTCTAAAGCTGGAGTATACAAAGCTCTATCGGAGGGGGCCAAGGAGGCCATTTGGTTGAGGAGTTTGTTGGCAGAGATGCATGTGGGGGATGGGGGGGCTATTCCATTGCTCTGTGGTAATGAGGCTGCTGTCTCCCTTGCCCACAATCCCGTTCTCCATCAGCACACCAAGCACATTAAGGTGGCATGCACTTTGTACAGATGCGGTGCGCCAGCAGGAGGTCGAGGTGCACTCAGTACGTTCCCACCTCCAGGATGCCGACATCAGGGCCTACTTTGGAGTTTTAGGTAACTCTGAATTCCAGAGTGGTTTTTTTTGCCAACTCTGAAATCTAGGGTTGTTCTTACGCCTCACTCTGAGTTGTCAGAGTAACCCTATGTTTTGGGAAAAAAAACTCAGGCACGTCAGAGTAATATTTTGCTTTACTCTGATGTTAGTTTTACTAAGGTGTATGATCTGTATGGCTAATTTGTTACGCCTTTCAGAAACTCCAGACCCGTCATAGGGCGAGAGCTGCATGACGGGCCGGGATCAGGTTCAGGCGCAGCAGCGTCAACGTTGTCTGCATTGAACAGGGTGCGGAACAGAGTGGGGAGACGCGTGGCTGTGATGTTGGGGTACGCAAGGCACCTGATGGATTGGGGAAATGGGTGGAGAAACTGTGAGCCAGCCGAGCACTAGCAGGCCTTGGCGCCAACACTCGAACGAAATCTGGATGGTGTTCTCGGCGACTTGGGGAAAACCCGATATTCGGGAGAGGGGGGGGGGTGGGGGGGGGGGCTAGGGGGCATGTATGTATCCTTTGTACAGAGTAAACTCGGTCCTTAGAATAAAAACCCAGAGAGCTCAGAGTAGCCTACAAGAAAACTCTGATAAATCAGAGAAAAATGAAGTTTTTTGAAAAGTGTGTAACACTTTCTAAAAATGTATATTTCGAAAGCGACGCTGCTTGTAATGCAGCAATGGCAACGGCGAAGTGCTCTACGCTCTTCGCCAACTATATAGCAGGGGGTGGAGGGCCATTTGGCCTCCACCCACGTCTTCGTTTGAATTTCAATGTCTTATTTCATTCTCGTCCGACGACTTGGCGCTTCCCGTTTTCCTCAGTTTCTCACTTCTCTCATAAAAATAGTAGGCATCAACTCAATTGACATGGCACAACGTGTTTTCGAAATAGGCACCCGTCCGCACAATAGGCGCGCTTGTTGGGGCTAATAAAGCGACAACGCCACTGGCGCACGTGGCGACGAAATCGCCACAAGCGCGCGTGGCGACGAAATCGCCACAGGGCGCGCGTGGCGACGAAACCAGCCACAGGCGCACGTGGCGAGAGCAATCGCCACAGGTTGCTCGTGGCGACGAATCACCACAGGCGCGTGTGGCGACGAAAAACAGCACACAGGGCGCGCGTGGCGACAAAACGCCACAAGCGCTCGTGGCGAATCGCCAGTTGGCGCACGTGGCGTAAAAATCGCCAGACGGAGCAAGTGGCGCCAGTGGCGCTCATGGTGCCGAAATGGTCAAAATCGCCACTGGCGCACGTGGCTACGACATCGCCAGTGGCGTGCAATAACCAGGGGCTCGTCCAGCGGCAGTCGGCACCAGCAGGTTGGTGAAATCTCCAGAGACAAACTGGCATGACATATGCTCTCCTGCTGCTGACATTGTCAGCGGATAACTTATTACCTTGCATATGTTTCCACCTTTTCTTCGTACGTATCTTCGATTTTTGTTTGTCTTCGTTTTTCTCTCGTGTTATTTATTACCTCTGATCGCAGTAAATCGGTGCGAGGCAACTACCATAGCTTTGGGTCGCCATGAGAGAACCATCGGCGAAGAAAGACTGCGGCAAACAATTGGCACAACCCCATGCGCTCCCGTGCGGTGCTGGCCAGCGAGCTCCCCAGGGGGGAGGAGGACCGGTGGGTCCTGTGCGGTGCTGGCCAGCGAGCTCCCCAGGGGGGAGGAGGACCGGTGGGTCCTGTGCGGTGCTGGCCAGCGAGCTCCCCAGGGGGGAGGAGGACCGGTGGGTCCTGTGCGGTGCTGGCCAGCGAGCTCCCCAGGGGGGAGAAGGACCGGTGGGTCCTGTGCGGTGCTGGCCAGCGAGCTCCCCAGGGGGGAGGAGGACCGGTGGGTCCTGTGCGGTGCTGGCCAGCGAGCTCCCCAGGGGGGAGGAGGACCTGTGGGTCCTATGCGGTGCTGGCCAGCGAGATCCCCAGTGGGGAGGAGGACCGGTGGGTCCTGTGCGGTGCTGGCCAGCGAGCTCCCCAGGGGGGAGGAGGACCGGTGGGTCCTGTGCGGTGCTGGCCAGCGAGCTCCCCAGGGGGGAGGAGGACCGGTGGGTCCTGTGCGGTGCTGGCCAGCGAGCTCCCCAGGGGGAGGAGGACCGGTGGGTCCTGTGCGGTGCTGGCCAGCGAGCTCCCCAGGGGGGAGGAGGACCGGTGGGTCCTGTGCGGTGCTGGCCAGCGAGCTCCCCAGGGGGGAGGAGGACCCACCGGGGGAGGAGGACCGGTGGGTCCTGTGCGGTGCTGGCCAGCGAGATCCCCAGTGGGGAGGAGGACGGTGGTCTTGTGCGGTGCTGGCCAGCGAGCTCCCCAGGGGGGAGGAGGACCGGTGGGTCCTGTGCGGTGCTGGCCAGCGAGCTCCCCAGGGGGGAGGAGGACCGGTGGGTCCTGTGTGTTGCTGGCCAGCGAGCTCCCCAGGGGGAGGAGGACCGGTGGGCCCTGTGCGGTGCTGGCCAGCGAGCTCCCCAGGGGGGAGGAGGACCGGTGGGTCCCTTTTTGGCTTGTGGGCCATTTGTAGGGTAGATTCATGGTTGTGCAATTTAGTTACACTTCTCACACATCTTAGGCTTTGAAAGCCTTCAATTGCACGGTCCGGATGTGGTCACACTCGAGTTGGTTGATTGAACAATGTTGTGGTGAGTTTGAAATGGTGCTCAAGTCTAGCAGATCCAAAAAAAAAAAAAAAAAAAGCACACACATACAAAGGGCTCAAACGCCGGCAGATTTACAGTATCCGGATACAGATGCATGCACTCTTCGTAATGCGAGCACGGTTGTGACTGCTACAAGGTTGGGCTCCTACAAGCATCACATCCATCATCACACAAAACACCAATGCCGTTACCAGAGTCCTCCTATACTGCTTGCGAGTTTGTGTCCGAAGCTCACATGTCAGCCGACTCTCATAAATCAACATTACTGTGCTACACTCGGGGCAACACTTCATCCAAGGCAACAGCAGGGATTACAGCATCACCATCAACATCGGTGCCAGCCTCTCCTTCGTGCGTGATTGGGACCTCCACCGACATGTCATCGCATAAGCCACAAACAACCTTTACCATCTCGTTAGAATGACCGCGTCTCATGTCTCAGAAGACCCATGAAACGAAGCTCGTTGCCATTGCAAACGCAAGAAAGCAAGCTTTCTAAATATGAAGTTTTTTGAAAGTGTGTAACACTTTCTAAAAATGTATATTTCGAAAGCGACGCTGCTTGTAATGCAGCAATGGCAACGGCGAAGTGCTCTACGCTCTTCGCCAACTATATAGCAGGGGGTGGAGGCCATTTGGCCTCCACCACGTCTTCGTTTGAAATTTCAAATGTCTTATTTCCCACCCACCCACCCTAGCAAAAAACTGCATGTTGGAACTTGTAATGTATGTACCATATCTAAATAGGACGAGAATGTTGTAATGCCCATTTGAAACGAAGCTCGTTACCCATGAAACGAAGCTCGTTGCCATTGCAAACGCAAGAAAGCAAGCTTTCTAAATCTAAACTTTTAAAAGCAAAACCCAGCAGGTACGGGTTCCTTTCAAAAATGACTCTGATTTTCAGAGAAACAGAGTAATACTCGGAAAACGTGGGCCTGGCCGACATGCTCACCAAAGCTCTTCCAAGCTTGCAGCTGCATGAGAACCTGGAGCGCATCGGCATGCGAGTGATGGCTGCGAAGGCCAACGCTTCATTCGCTGGAGGGGTTGTGTTTGTTGGGAACAATAAGTTTTTAAGCGCCTCTGTCGTGTCCGAAACTCAGGACACTAGCGAAGCGGTCCAAATCGAAGCATCGCGAGTCAACCCTCGGAGGTTGGGGTAACCGCCTGGAGGTTACGCGAAGGTCAAAGGTCAGCGACCTTTGACTTGACCAATACAGCGCGACAGCAAGGACACACAACTGACTCGACATTGAGCAGTTGCCCGAGTCGCACTGTATCGAATCGCAACAGTAAAACGGTTTAAATCTATCGATTCGTATTCCTTGTACTCTTATATAAACCTTGTATTTGCTTGTTTAATCTAACTTACTTTGCTCTCACATACTAGTGCAAGGTGGTTCAACCACTCTGTATTACAACGCTTCCGCTATTCAATCCTACTCAGTCCTTAAACTCTACAAAGATCCTAGGGCTTCTCAGCCCAACATGGTATGAGAGCAGTTAGAGTTTAAGATCATTTTCTCTCTCAATACTTAAATACAAAGAAAGAAGACATGTCTGCAAGGAAGGAGAGGAGCTCCTCCAACGGCTCCCCAGGCACTACTCCTACTCCACCTCCTGCCTCTGGCCTACAGACAGAGGAAGGCACTACCGCAAGACCAGCAGCTGGGTCCCGGAAACACCAACAGGCTTCGATTCAAACATGATGGAGAAATTTTTCTCCTTCATGTCCTTCTACGAGCAACACCAGCAAGGAGTGCCTGCGCAGTCAAACAACAGCAACAACAACAACAATGTTACTCCGATGAGCCTCGACGGCTCATCCTATGCACGCGGGATGCAACAACAACAACAGCAGCCTACCTTTGCGCCGTACGAGCCCCAACGTGGCTTCGTCAGCTTCATGCCGCAACCGCAACCTGCATCGGGACAAGAAAGGACATTGGACGCGTTACAAGTCCAATCGCAATTCGCGCACGTCCTAAAACTACAAACGACAAAGCCTTTCGACGGCAAAGATTTCTTTACCTGGTCGTTCGAGTTTGAACTGATGATGGAAGGAGCACAGATCCTTGGCTTCTTCGACGGGTCCCTGCCATATCCGACAAACGGGACACAAATAGAAGCAGCAGTATACATATCAATCGATGATGGCGTACACGATTCTGCTGAGGAACATCACCCCAACCCAGCAGCAGAACATCAGGACTTACCGAGGCTACGGCAACTCCGCGGAGCTCGCGTACAACCACCTGAAGAACCTGTATCAAGCAACAGACAGCGTAAACCAAAGCAGGTTAATGGCGCAGTTGACAGCGATTGAAATGAAACCAGGCGAGAAATGCATGGCTTATATCAGCCGCTGCCGCGAACTGCGCGACAAGCTTCTTCGATGCGGCGGGTCAATTTCAGAAGACGCCTTTGTCACGGTGGTCATCGGCGGTCTCGGCTCCACTCCCCCAATGGCGCTCCACTCGCGCCATATTACGAGCACACGGGAGGATCTCCGAAGCAGCACTCTGCGCCGAAATTCATGCTGAGCAGCAGGACATGGACCTGCAAGAAGAAAGACACAAGAAGAAAGCTTTAGCACCAGAATTTGCTTTTCACACTCAGCGACGACACAACGGCAACAACAATCGACAACAGCAAGTGAAAACGGTACCTCCGTTCTGCCACATCTGCAAAACCTCAGGCCATCCTCGCACGCATTGCCCGTCTCGTCAGACGACACCACAGCGACAACTGCGGCCTTCAAGCTCCCAAGTTGCTTCAACGCAAGCAAGTCCGACAACCACGATCCAAGCTTCAACGACTTCAACTGGACAACCTGCACAAGGAGCAAGAAGCATCGTCAACTGCATGGTAAAGATAACGATTCCTGCATTACAAGTCGCCACCCTACTACCCACCAGAAAGAGGAGCTCGACAACAGGACGCCTCGCCGCGAATCACTCCAGCCGAATCCGACGTACGTCGCCATCGCTCAAAGCGAACCGTCCGGCCAAGACACTTGGTTCTTGGATAGTTGCTGCGGACAACACATGTGCTCCTCCGGGCGCTTCGTACAACGCGGAACATCGACTCCAGCGAGAAGTAGTCATAACAGTCGCCAACAACCAGAACCTGCGCACAAGACGACAAGGAGTCGTTCAGCTTCAATCAAGAGAGACCAACGTTTATACTACACATGTCAAAAGTACTCATCGCAGAAGGACTCGGTTACAACTTACTGAGTGTTAGCCAGCTGATGGCGAAGGGGATTCACTTGGAAGCCGACAGCACCACCCAGGAATTTAAGTTATACCACGGGAGGGGCGGCCTCTACATCGGGAAAGCAGTGTTGAAGAATAACGTCTTCGTTCTTGACTTCGTCCCCGACCTGGGCACTGCAGACAGCGACGCCATCGTCAACTTTACCGACTGGACACACCCTCCGGACCTCGATCCTGATTTCAGTCCAGGAGGCTTCTGGTACTCACACACCATCCCTGAAGAAGAGCGAACACGAGCATTAGCAACAATTCAACAATCGACAGCAGCAGAGACAACATGGCAGCAGCAGATACAAAATCGGCAGCAGCAGAGACAACATCGGCAGCAGCAGATACAAAATCGACAGCAGCAGAGACAACATCGGCAGCAGCAGAGACAACATCGGCAGCAACAACAAATCGGCAGCAGCAAGGAACAACGACACCAGTCATCGTCGACGAAACACCACCAACACCAGCACAACAGCTGAACCCGACTCAACGAGAAGTCCACCGCAGCGCCCAACTTCGTCGCCAGCTTCTACTCCAACTCCGACGCATATCAAGTTCACCCGGACACCGCGCCTCCGAAGACATCTGGCACGCACGCACAGGACATCCAAGTAACCGGTGTTAAATAATACGATACGAGCAGGAGTGCTAGACAAAGACTCGCTACTACTACTCGACGGCAGAGAACTTCAACGTGCACCGGGGGACTTGCCTCATCTGCCCCGAGGCCGACTTACCACATCGACCCTTTTCTTCTCACCACAACCCGAGCGCACCTGCATACGCTGTCAGATTTATATGACATAGTTGCTGTAGGCTATAGTGGGGTAGCACATATGGGGTACAGGTTTTCTAGGGTTGTATTTGTACCCAATCTTTCCTTAGTCATTTCATTCCTGTTTTCTTTACTTCACATGGTATAGAGCGGGTCCTACCTTAGGACCGTTTTTTTTTAGGGCCCACCGAAGCGCGCCCCGAGCGCGCCTTTTTTTAGCGACCCCCTCGGGTCGCCTTTT